AAAACTCTGAGCAATCTCTCTCTCCATACCACTGCCGACACTCCTCTTTCTTTTATAGGCAAAACTCTGATTTTTTATTTGTAACCAAAATCGTACAAAACCGCAATAAACCGAACCAATTTTCCTATAATATGGTTCGCGGTCGTTACAACGTACCCTATTCTGGTTTTGCTAGAAAGCTTTTTCCTGGTCCTTGCAGAAATTGTTTTCAAAATAGAAACAACATTTTCTCCCACAAAAAAAAAAAATGATCATAAAGTTGCACCATTAGTAAACTTCTTACATGTTAAGGAAGAATCTGAAACCCATTAACATCCACTCTTTCCTTTGATGATGAAGTTTTTGAAAAAAACAGTTTATGGCTAGATCTCTGCGTTTGTGTTTGTAACGAGTATGTATGAGTATAAATTAAAAAACATATAGAGCTTTTTTCATGAGATTTGGTTTTCCTACATCCCCGGACCTAGTCTAGTATCAATCTATTTGAAAATACGGCAACCTACAATTGCTATATGGCATACCACCACTCTTTTCTACATGGACAAACTATGAAGACAACTACCAGGCACGCATGCTTGACTACAAACCAGCATCACCGGTGCAACACCATCTTCTCAACGACTGCAATCTTCATAGACAACCACCATCAACATGGTGGGACAACGCCACACACACATGTTTGCATCTCACAAAGGAACCCTAGGCGCGTAACTCTTTTTGTCAACGCTTCTTGCCTTTTATACTACCACCACAAAACCTTCACGTTTCATGTCATGTGGGTTTTTAACCTCAATCATTATTGGGCTTCTAATTCAATAAGAGTCCAATCTCACTTTTTTCACGTGTTGGAACAGTTCCGCATGTGTTTAGCACAGAAACCTCTCTTTCATTCTCCCCCTTTTTGACTGAATGTGTTCATCCAAACTCATGTTCAAACTCTCTAGATTCAGCATCGACTCCCCCTCAGTGTTAGCATCAATACTTTCTTGATACTCACTTCTTCAAGCTCTTCACTGGGATTTGTTGGAGATGCATCGGCACATTAATCTCCTCCATCTTGGTTTACACATTCATTCAAACCTCTCAAGCAAATCAAGGAACAAGGGCCTACATCACACTCTCTTTCTGCGAAAAACCAATTTTTTTTTTTTAATATACCTCTGTTCTTGGCCATGTTCCAACATTACCTTTCCTGTTTCAACATCTGTGGGAGTTCTTCTGCAAACTTGATCAATTTCTTCGCTAGAGAGAAACATCCACAACTCTCGGATTTCACATCAGAATTGAGTCTCGTTTTTTCCTCTGGAAAGCTGACTTCGTTATCTTTGCAACGGTGTCCAGATCGATTTCTGGTTCGTTCTAGTCTACCGGAAAAATAGCTCGAAAAGTGGTTGGTAGCAACTGATATTTCGCTTTCCCTTCAGTTTCTCTTCCATAACCAAGCTACTCCTTCTATCACATCCTTTGAATCTCTTTGACTATATCAGAAGCAAATTGATCTCTCTCTCTCATGTTCGTTTTCAAGCCCATAAACTTCAATCTTCTTCTTCGTTAACATGAACCCTGATAAACCCTAATCTCATACTTTGCTCTTCAATCCTAACCACCAAAACCGAAACCCGAATCATATACGAAAATAATAAAAAATCTCTATCGAGTCCCGCTCTGACACCAATTGAAAAAATAGTTTGTGGCTGGATCTCTACATTTGTGTTTGTAACGAGTATGTATGAGCAAAAAATAAAAAAATACATAGAGTTTTTTCACGAGGTTCGGTTTTCCTACATCCCTAGGACCTAGTCCAGAATCAATTCATTAAAAAAAGCTGAAACCTACAATTGCTCTGGTAAACAAAAAAACTCGATGAATTGATGGAACAAAGAGACAATAGGATCCTAATTGATGGATTTTTTTTGTATGAATATTGATGATATCCATGTACAAAGACTTATATTTTCCTTGTTAACATATTGATTGGAAAAAGGCTTAATTTTCTTGTTCTTGTCGATCAATATTTTTTTTCCAATCAATCAAACACTAAATTAAACAGAAGGCTTGGTCAACTATACATATAGGTGACTAAGTGTAATAGGGTTTTATTTTTGGCGGTCGATCTCCCTTTATTTAGTGATTTTTCCTTTTTCTTTTTAATCATAATACAATTAGGTTGATTATCGTTTTTTTTTTTAATATAAAGAGTTCGTTATGATTACTTGAGGCGCATCAAGAGCTTTCTTTCGTTCTCTGTATTATATATTAGATGAGAAGAAGAAATTCGTTAGGGTCCAACTAAATTCAGAATGCTTTTCGGGTGTGTTCGTTTTGGTACTCTTCGTTGCTCTAGTGGCTTGAGCAATTTCCCGTGGCGAATTGCAAGCAGGTTCCGCGGCTGTGCTTCCTTATGCCTTCTCGCGGAAGACGGGAAGTGTTCTGTTAATGATTTGACGCTCAACTCCGTGGTCAAAGTCTTTTGCCGCTCTGCCAAGTCTAGCTTTTTACAACCTTGGCAGAAAAGGCTGCCAGAACAATCGAGTGGCTCTGGTAAACATATCTCTCATTAGTTTATATTTTTATTTTTGAGAAGGGTTTGTGGTTCATATCTTGGATTGTAATTGATGTAGGATTTGTTTTCGCGAGAAATAAGATTCTTACAAACGCTCACGTAGTCGCTGATCACACGTTCGTGCAAGTCAGAAAGCATGGTTCGCCCACCAAGTACAAAGCAAAAGTTGAAGCAGTCGGGCATGAATGTGATTTGGCAATATTGGTGATCAAAAGCAAAAAGTTTTGGGAGGATATGAAGCCCTTGGAACTCGGAGACATACCGTCCCTCTACCAAAATGTGTATGTTGTTGGATATCCTAAAGGTATATAATAAACTCAAGGGAATTATGTGATACGGCCAAATTTTTATGCTGAAACTCATAAAATATGTTTGATGTTATGAGCTCAACTGCATTGCAGGTGGTGACAATATCTCTATTACGAAAGGTGTTGTCTCTAGAGTTGAGCTTACAGAATATTCTCACAGCCAAGCTAAGCTAATGACGATACAGATAGATGCGGCTATTAATCCGGGAAATAGTGGCGGTCCAGTAGTCATGGAAAACACAGTCGTTGGTGTAGCATTTCAAGGTCTTCCATCTTCGGAGAATACGGGGTGAGTTGAAACTATAAATCTTGATATTTTGGAGGTGAGCTTCATTCTATCATATTTTGTTCCTTTTGTTTGCAACCACACGTTTGACTAGCTTCTTGTTTTCGGTATGCAGCTACATAATCCCAACTCCAGTAATTAAGCACTTTGTAGCTAATGTTGAAGAGAATGGTCCATTCAGTGGGTTTTGCTCACTGGGTATAACGTGCCAGCATATGGAGAATGTTCAGATCCGTAGTTACTTTAAGATGAATCCTAAAATGACAGGGATTCTGATAAAAGAAATAAGCGCATTCTCGAGTGCCTACAGTATTCTAAAAAAGGATGACATTCTTCTCTCAATGGATGGCCTTTCTATAGGAAACGATGAGACAGGTAACGTTAATGTATCATAGTTTGTTCAATCTGGATTCATTGGTGCGTTATTCATCATGTTCATATTTTCCTACAGTTAATTTTCGGAAGAAGGAACGAATAAATTTCAATCACTTTGTTTCTATGAAGAAACCAAGTGAAACAACTTTACTTAAAGTCTTGAGAGAGGGAAAACAACATGAATTCAATATCAATATAAAACCTGTAAGTTAAATTAACGTCCACTTTTCTAATAACATCTTTGTTGTTATCAAAGTTTTGTGGCTTCTTTCTAAATCATTAGCTATGGTGTTTGTACGTAGGTGGAACCGCTGATTCCAGTGTATCAATATGATAAGCTTCCAAGTTATTACATACTCGCTGGTATTGTCTTTGTGCCTCTCACTAAGCCATACATGGATTGTTGTTATTCCATATGCGACTGTGTATTCGGAAACATGCCCAAAAAAGCCGGTGAACAGATCGTCGTAATTTCTCAGGTCTGTTTTTCTTTCGTCGCTACCACAATAACAATATAATTTTGTCTTGTAGAGCTGTTAGTAAGAATGAGGAGGATAAGTATATATAACAAACAGTCAAGAATCATACTCAGTGAGTTTGTTTTTGGAACAGGTGTTAGAGGATGACATTAATGTAGGATACTCCAGTTTCGAAGATATTGAGGTAACGCTTGTTCTCAAATCATGTTTGTATTGATGGTAACGAATGTGGTCTCAGCTTTGAACCTATTGACACAAACTATATGAAAAGATCAGAATCATAGTTCCACACTCTTAAGATATTTTTTTTTGTTTTTAACTAAAGGAATCATATTTGTGGTTGAGTCAGGTGAGGAAAGTGAACGGAGTGCAAGTGGAGAATTTGAAGCATCTATGTCAGCTCATAGAGGAATGCTGTACCGAGGATTTGAGGCTGGACTTAGAACAGGAGAATGTAATCATCCTCAAGCACAAACCTGCGATAAAAGCCACTCCTAAGATATTAAAACGTTACGGAATACCATCTGCCAAGTCTAAGGACCTTCGATCTCCGCGGACCGTAGTAACTGGAGTATAGCTAATAAATTCAAAGATCAGTTGTTTGGTTTTTATTCCTTTTCCTTGTCAATTCACATGACATAAGTCATTATGGATTTCCAACTATTTAKACCATTCTTTCCTGTTTCGCTTTCTATCAATTTCTGATCAACAATGAAAGACGCTTGTGATTTAGTGAGTGACATTGGGCAGGGACTAGTAGAGAAAGGTTACCACACGCTTATGTCCATCGAAGTACTTATAAAATCTCTAAATGTTGTAACACATGCTTTGCAAGATGGTGATCTTCTTCTTCAGACATGTAAGACCGACCACAAATCTGCGGGGAAAAACCACTCCTAGGCTAAGATTTTAAAATGTTATGTACGAAATACCATCCACATTGCAATGTCCAAGGACCTTCGATCAGTCGTTTGAGTTCATATCCTTTTTCCTTCCCAATTAAAGTCATTAATGATCTCTATCCATTCATAATCTGAAGCTAGAGAATTTTGGATGTAAAACCAGAATGTAACAAAAGCACCGGAATCTAGAGAATCTATTTCTTGTGTTATAAAAGTTGGAATACAAAAGACTTGTGACAAGAGAGTACCAAGCGCTTTCGTGAGAGCAGGCAAACAAGTTGAGGTTTCTCAAGTGGAGCTTTCTGTTTTCTGTTTCTTGGCCTTCTCAATCAGAGGTTTCAACTGTTTCTTCTCTGCAAGCAGTTTGAGGAAGTTGAACAAAAAGGGAATGTAGTTGTGCTTCCTCCTAATGTTCTCTGTTCTCCATTTCATGAACTTTTCTTCTTCCATTACAATCTTGTCGCTCGCAGCCTCAATCCCAGTGTTCACCTCACCAATCAACGGCTCAAGTGCTTCTGCACTGCTTTTGTCCAACCCAGCCAACTCCTGCAACAGTTGCTCCCTCTGCCTTTGAAGCTCCTTGAGTTCCGCTGTGTAGATATCCTTCCTGTTTTTAATGACAGCCAAAAGATTGAACCTAATCTCACTCTGCGAGTACCTCTCAATCCTTTCTTGGATCACCGGTTGAACCATCTGCAGCCATTCGATACCACTTTGGTCCCCGGGGTATGGACCAAGACTGATAGGTCCTTCCTTTAGACCATCAAGCTCGTACAAGACTCCATCAACAGGTATGTAGCTTATGAAATGGTAAACGTCATCGTCTTTTGTAGCAGCTTTCTGCTCCTCTGGGACAAATGGCTCAGGCCGTGCAAAACTGTTGTGAGCAGTCCGTATAGCCTCGCTGTTATTGATAGCCAAACCCTTAAGATCAGATGGAAAGTTCTTGGTGAATTCTTTCAACTTCGATAATTCAGGACCAATGTCAACCTCTGGAGAGTTCAAGAGGATAGACAGGATTGCTTGGGTTGCACATGCATTGTTAATGACCTATAAAAATATATAACGTTTGCGATTAAGATTGAAAAAGAAGATACTTTTAATCAGAATATTATGCATTTGTCATTTATACAAACCTGGTTTGCAAAAAACAGGTTAGAAACTGGATCTTGGACTGTTGGACGATCATCTTTTACCCCAGCTTGCCATTTGAAAAGAAAGATCAAACCGTATATGGGTCTACAAGGCAGTCGCATTGTTGAAAGCATATATTAATAAGGGCACAGATATAACATACAAGTACAAATGTAGCTCATAGAACGGGGAGTTTGAATCCAGGAAAAGCCAATAGCATTCATGTTTTATTTAGAATAACGAGTACAGAAACTTCAGAGGGGACTTTATATTTTGTATGAAACTACTCACCTGAGGTTATTGAGAGAATCAAGATCCAGGGAATACAACTCTTCAACCTAAGGAAAGAGAGTCAAAATCAAAAGGGTATGAAAAAAATCAAATTTGGTGGTAAATGGTGACACAAAAAAAAAGTTGCAATAGCCAATTTCGTCTGTTTAGGATGAATTTGGACATTCAAATGCAATGAGTATGGATATAGGTATAATACAGAACAGACATGAAAAAACACAGACACTTAATTCAGTAAGAAAATAAGAAACTTCAGATTTTTTCTTCAAGATAAATTTTACAATATAAGAAGTAACAATATCAACATTGATTGCATCGCCGTTCCTGTACTTGTACTCCTGAGATTCTTAAGAGATCGGACAAGACTTAATCTAACTATTACCTTAGTCTACCTTGCCACACATGATGAATAAATTTCTCTGACCAGAGAATATGACCCCGGAAACAAAAATAAAAACAGATACACTATAAGAGTATATATATTACCTGCACTCCTTTGACTTGCATTTGTTGAATAAGCTCTGTAAATACACCTGTTGCGTACATATATACAAAAATATAAGCAACACAAAGACTTTACCACAGAATTTCAATTCAATAAAACTAGAGATAGTTCCAATTTGCAGAACCCTTATACCAACAGAATTTTTTTACTTCAACAGCTCAAATATCATTCAATCCGGATATGAAGTATCCAAAAGTTACTATCAGTCTCCGAAGACTAAACTCTTCAAATATCTTGGACTCGAGAAGTTTCAAAGTTTGAGATAATCGTCCATGTTTAATATAGTACTAAACCCACACAAACCAAATCAGATATTCCCAAATCTACTACTCACAGTTGGTGAGAAGTACTACTGGGAATATGACTTGTCATGAACCAAGCAAAAGATATGGTATCCATGTAAGAATACGATCGATAAACAAGTAAAGCATCCAAGTCAAGTTCCACAATTAAGCACTCAGTTTGAGTATATTCATCGCAAGAGAAAATGAGGGAGAAAGCAAACGTACCAGGATCCGACTCGATCGTGCACCAAGACATGAAGAACAAGCTAGAGATGAAAAGCTGTTGAGAGAGATTTTGGATGGTCGAGATCGCTTTTGTGAATCCAATTTGGGAATTAGGGTTTAGCTTCCGGGTTAGCCTGCTTCGTGGCTTGTTCGCTTCCTCTTTTTATAAGAAAAAATTATCTAAAATACCAATTATTTTTTTAAAAATTTCACACCAAAAAACGATTTTGTCTCTGCTTCAGATAGATATAAGAATTATTCGTTTGATTAGCAGCTCAATGTTTTGTCTATCGTCTTTTAAAATTATATCCACCACAACGGTGTCACACTACAATGTTGTCCAATAAGAATTATCTTCCCATTTTGTATAGTCCTTCACATGGTTCTTTTTTTATTTTGTCCACGCCTTCAAAATAATTGTTGTCCTCATATGTCACAGTTAGAGGTAGACGAGTAAATAATGATAATAGAGAAAAAGAGCGAGAATGTACAAAGATGTTGTGATAAGGGGATCT